CTTACTCCTCTCTGGACTTCTCTCCCCTCCCCATCATCACACTGTCCTCTAATGCACACACTCCAAGAAATTCTTTTTCTCACTTCTTTTTTCTCAAATATTTTTACAGTTTGTCAGTGCCATGTTCTCAGGGGGTTCTGTGAGACTAGTGAGATAAAAGAGGGATTTGCAAACGGGGAGTTCTTCTACCTTATTTGAGAAACAGAAGCCTATTTCTCAATGCACTGTGCAGAGACATGTCTTTTCTTGGGATTTTAGGTGCCTATGAAACATTGCCACAGCCATGAAACTTCACAAATTTGTAGCTCAATGTTATAGGTTTAATGTAATCACTATTAAAATTCCAATGATACTTAACCACAAAAAGACCTTAAATTGCTAATGTAATGTTGAATAAGAAGAACAAAGATGTAGTTGTCATACTTCTTGGCTTCAAAATATATTACAGAGCTACAATAAAATAAAAAGTGTGGCACCTGCAAAAAAAAAAAAAAACACACAGACCTATAGACCGTTGAAACAGAATAAAGAGTTAATAAACAAACCCACACATTTACAGGCAACTGATCTTCAACAAGGGTGTCAATAACACACACTGTGGAAAGCATAATTTCCTCAGTAAGTGGTGTTGGGAAAATTGGATATCATATGCCGAAGAATGAAATTTAGACCATTATCTTACATCATACACAAAAATAAGTTCAAAATGGGTAAAAGATTTAATGCTTGTTTTGTGACCTATATATGCTCTATCCTAAAAAGTGTTTCACATGTTGATGAAAAGATTATTTATTCAGCACCTGTTGGGTGGAGTATTCTGTATATGTCTGTTTTGTCCATTAAGTGTATAGTGTAATTTAGCTCTATTCTTTGTTGATTTTGTTTTGTCTGGTTCATCTGTACATTGATGAAAGGGCAGTGTTGAAGTCTCCACTGTTGTTTGGAAGCTCGTCTCTCCCTTTAGATGTAATCATGTTTGTTTAGAAAATTCAGTTATCTGGCATTAAGTGCATTTACATTTTAAATCATACCTTCATGTGGGATTGATCTCTTGATCTTTATAGTGGCTGTCTGTTTTTACAAGTTTATTTTAAATTCTCTTTTGTCTGATACAAATATTGCTACTTCTTTTCATTTTTGGTTTCTGTTTGAATGGAATATCTTTTACCACTCTTTTACTTTCATATATTTCTGCCTACTGCTGAAGTTTCTTAAGAGGCAGCATAAGTCCTGGTTTTGTTTGTTTTGTTGTTTTGGTTTTTGTTTAATCATTCAGATAATCTATACCTTTTAACTGGGGGAATTTAGTCCATTTATATTCAGTTATTAATGATACATAATGATTTGGTTTGGTCTTTTTTAAAATTCTTCAGTATATTTTGAACTTCCTTTGTTCTTTTTTCTGGTGGGCTTTATACTTTCAGATGTTTGTGTGACCATAGTTATCTTTGTTTTTTTTTTTATGTGACCCCTTAAGTATCTTTGGTAAGGCCGGTCAGGTGGTGGTGAATTTCTTCAGTTTTTGCTTGTCGTAGAAAATATTTCTCCTTCAATTATTAAAGATAGCTTTACTTGGTAGTCTTGGTTGGAAATTTTTTTCTTGGAATATATCATTCCTTTCCCTTCTAGCCTGTAAGGTTTCTGATGAAAAATCTGCTGTTAATCTAATGAGGGTTCTCTTACAGGTTAGCTGACACTTTTCTCTTGTGCAGATTTTAGAATTCTCTCTTTGTATTGTATTTTTGTTACTCTGGATATAATATGTTCTTGTGGTGAGGATCTTTTTGGGTTATATCTGTTTGGAGTCCTTTGGGTCTCCTGTACTTAGATGTCCAAATCTTTCTCCACATTTGATAAGTTTTTAGCTGTTGTTACGTTAGATATGTGGGTTTTTTTAAATTTTTTACTTCTCTTTGTCTACAAGAATTTCCAAAATTTAAATATTTGTTCATTTAATGGAGTCCCAGTGGTATCAAAGGCTAATCTTATTTGTTTGTTTTTGTGTGACTGAAATATTTCAAAAGGGCTATCTTCAATTTCAGATAGTCTTTCTCCTGGTTGATCTAGTGTATTGTTGAGGTTTTCAGCTGTATTTTTTACTTCTTGAAATCTTTGTTTCTCAAATTTCTGTTTGATTCTTTTTCTTTTTTTTTAAAGATTTGTTTATTTTATTTGAAAGAGTTACACAGAGAGAGAAGGAGAGGCAGAGAGAGAGAGAAAGAGAGAGGTCTTCTGGTCTTCCATCTGCTGGTTCACTCCCTAATTGGCCGCAACGGCCAGAGCTATGCTGATCCGAAGCTAGGAGCCAGGAGCTTCCTCCCAGTCTCCTACTTGGGTGCAGGGGCCCAAGGACTTGTCCATCCTCTACTGCTTCCTAGGCCATCACAGAGAGCTGGATTGGAAGTGGAGTGGCTGGGACATGAACCAGCGTTCATATTTGATGCTGGCACTGCAGGTGGTGGCTTTACCTGCTATGCTGCAGTGCCAGCCTCCTTGATTCTTTTTCAAGTCTGTCTCTTTGCTGAATATCTCTTTCATATCATGCATCAATTTCCTAATTTTGTTTAACTCTTTATCTGTATTCTCTTGTATTTCTTTGAGTATCATTATAATCATTTTTCCTGAAAGTCTGTCTTTGGGTGTCGCTTTGGTAGGTAACTTTGGCTTCAGTCCCAGTTGGATACTAAAGTATGGTTTCCCTGTACCTTCTTCCATCATAATTTATGGCAGCAGTGGCAGGGAATTGGGGGAACTCCTTTCAGTCTCAGCAAGGGTGGAGAGGTCGAACTGGCAGTGGTTGGTGTCAGAGCATTGCCAAACCCAGGCCTGATGTGAACATGTGTGGTTACATACACCTACTACAGCTGAGAAAGAGAGAAAGGGAGCTGCACTAGAGCCTAGTCCATCTATGATAAGTGTTCATGGTGCCAGGAAAGCATAGGCTATGCTGGGGATTTTGCACTGGTAACTGCTGATCTGAAGCTGCAGGATGTAGGTAGGACCTTTTACAGGCACCATGGGGTAAGCATGCATGACTCTAGGGTTTCTGGGACTAGCAGCCACAGTCCCAGAGTTATGGAATGCAGAAAAGGCCTTCTCGAGGTTTCTCATGGCAAGCACAGTTTAGATGAGAGCTGTGCACTGTCAGCTTTGGGTCTTGAGCCATGAGATGCAGAAGGGAATTTCCCACATCCCTCGGAGCAAGCAAGAGTGGTGCTGACATTGTGTAAAGTCATCAAATGCTCTGAGCCATGATGTGTGGAGAATAAATTCCGCAGGTGCTGCAAGGTGAGCAAGGCTTCCAGGAGCCCTGAGCCACCAGACACAGAAGGGGTCTTCTCCAGGTCTCAAGGGGCAAGCGAGGGTGACTCCTTAGTTTGTACACCACAATCCTGTAGCTGTAAATGTTGAGGGGCCTGTCATCTGTTCTGTGAGATGTATGCTGTTCTGAGGACTGTGGCAGCATCCAGGCTGCCTACTGGCTCCTGAAATAAAATGGAATCTAATAGTGGCTATACCCTAGCAGATTGGGTTCTGGGGACTGAGGGGGCACCCAATATGGGTTCCTTTTTTGGAGTAACACAGTCAGTTGGACTCCAGTCAACTTCCCCAACTGGATTTGAAGCCTCTGAGGGTTATGGAATTCCCCTGAAGTTAGGAATGCTGATCTGCAGTAATCATTGAGGTCACTGTGCTTTCCTGTTTACCTTTCCCAGCAATGTGGAAATTCTCGGGGGTCTGGGTTAGCAGCTGCAGTGTGCTCTGTTCCTTCCTTTCTACTGGTCTCCTAAACTTTATGCTGTTTAGGGTTCCTGTCCCTTCTTTGCTGATTTCAAGAATTTTCCTTAAGCTAATCTCCCCAAAATGTTCACCTGATTCATTTCTGTGCCTGAGGTTAAATACAGAACACCTTATTTAACCTTGGATCTTTATTCTCACTGCTCCCAGGGCATCCAGAAGTCACAGCAGATGTACTAGGATAATATTAACTCCTATACCTAATTATTAAATTTAAAAAGTTTTTAAAACTTCATAGTGCCTAATGTTATTTTATCTGTACCTTGGGAAGAACTGTCTCAAAGGACAAGTGTGATTTGTAGATTTTAAAAGAAAAAAATAAAAGCATGTCAGATAAGGAGAATAATTAGAGAAGTTGTTGATGGGGCAGAGAATTCTATAATAAATAGAACCGATTGATCAACAAAAAAAACCCTTTGAGAAAAATAGAGATGCCTGAAGTTGGGGGAGGGGATTATTGGTGAGTGACATAGACATGGAGCAGGAAGAAAATGGTATTGAAAATCCACTAAGGTTTTTCAAGATGAGAGAATCTGATGAGATTGATTGAGGGTAGGGGGATGAATTGGCAGGATGGGAAGAACCTAGAATTAGATAGGCAAGTACAGACATGAGAATTCATGAAAATGGACATGATAGCCAGAACAAGAATGGTGGCAATAGGAATGAAGAAATGGGATGAGAATGACACACAGGGTGATAGTAGATGATATCTGAGATTAATCTGACAGTAAACAAATCTCTAGTAATGGTTGGAGTATTTCTGTTCTCAGAAATAATAGCTTTCTGGATTGGAGTTAAATTTTTGGAAGTCCTCCCAGACTCAACTATTGCCCAAAACTTATGATCGAGTCATCTTTCCTGGTCATCCACTCTGACACTATTCCTGTCATGTCATGTAGGAAAATATACCCAATAGGGTCAGATCTTCTGCTTTTTCAAGAAAGTTGTAAATTCAGCTACCTTTTGTAATCTCCTAACTTTTAAACATCAATAATTCAATTTTTGTTAATGAATAAAACACTATACAACTTGGTTGCCAATTTGAAACCTCTCTTAAATTCTGTGTATTGCATAGAAGCTTGTCTGTGTGATTTCTTATCAGCAAGAAACATGTAGAAAGGATTTTTGTACTAGCTAGTGTTTTCCTTTAGTTAGGATGGTGATTTGAAAGTTATAAGACTTTCTCTGCTTCTTCCCAGCCAGGTCTCTAGACAAACTTTATAACTTTGCTGATTGCTCTGGACTCCACCTGATATTTGCTTTAAACGCACTGCGTCGTAATCCCAATAACTCCTGGAACAGTTCTAGTGCCCTGAGTCTATTGAAGTACAGTGCCAGCAAAAAGTACAACATTTCCTGGGAACTGGGTAATGGTAAGTAAAGATGTTATTTCCTCTGAATTGACAGGATAAAGGGGGAAAATGGATTGGTTTGAAAAATATTCTCAGTCAAATCATCTCTAATACATTGGCACAAAAAACATTTGGAATGTTTGGTCGTGAGTTTACCATCCAAATGGCAAAAAACTGTAGAAAAATTGAATCTACACCATCTGCATCTGTAGAGATCTCTAATTACATCATTTCAAACATGGGGGAAATCCCACAATAAATGGAAAATATAGTGATTTATGACTTAAAAATTTCATGATAGAACCACAAACTACTCTAATTTGAAAGAGTTTTGGTTAAATAAGTTTGAGGACTGCCATATAGTATATGGACTTCTTGAAGGTTCATGATTCATATCAGCATATAAAAGACCCTGAGCAGTCCTGCCACAAATAAATCTGTTTAACATTTTTAATTTAGTTTTCTTAAGCCATTAAACCAAGGTTGGTTTCAGGCTTAGGAGAACCCATACTTAGTTTTAATGCTCTGTTGCCACTGCATTGAAATTCTTAATACTTTTTTAACAAGGGGATTCACATTTTCATTTGTGTGGGGCCCTATAAATTATGTTTAACCATTGAATTCTGTCTCTCTCTGTGTGTATATTATCTGTTATTCCTTCCATGGAACAATATCACATTGCACACAGTTTGGAGAAATAGTTCATGAATCATACTGTTTTTCTTGATATACATGCCATTCTGTAGAGTCTGTGACTGTAATATTAAGTCAATTAATATGAGTTATCATTTAAATTATGGATAGTATAAATCTGAAAGTTTTCTGATTCTTAAGGTAAAAGAATTTTTTGGTAACCCTCGATCAAAGCAATTGAGCCTAACAAACCAAGACTTCTCTTAAAATACCAATCATAAATTGATTCCATTTTTGTCCATGGCTTTATATGTCTGTAGCTAACGTCATTTATTAAACACTAGGTACACATGTGTGTGCATGTATACCCACATACACATGTATGTGCCCTCACATGTATTTATTGAATCCTAGAATTTGAAGTTCTCATGATAACATGACAATGCACAAAGGTCATAAAAATTAATGTCTGGGGGCCAGTGCTGTGGTATAGCAGGTAAAACTGCTGCCTGCAGTGCTGACATTCCTTATGGGTACTTGCTCGAGTCCTGGCTGCTCCACTTCCAATCCAGCTTTCTGCTGTGACCTGAGAAAGCAGTGGAAGATGGCCCAAGTCCCTGGGCCCCTGCACCCATGCGGTAGATCCAGATGAAGCTGGGAAGCTCCTGGCTTTGGATCAGCATAACTCCAGCTGTTGTGGCCATCTGGGGAGTGAACCAACGGATGGAAGACCTCATTCTCTCTCTCTGCCTCTGTCTCTCTGTAACTATGCCTTTCAAATAAATAAATACAATCTTTAAAAAAAACAAATAAGGTCCTGTTTTTGCATCAGTAGTCTTTTTTTTGTTTTACTTTTATTTAGCAAATATAAATTTCCAAAGTACAGCTTATGGATTACAATGGCTTTTCCCCCCATAACTTCCCTCCCGCCTGCAACCCTCCCATCTCCCGCTCCCTCTCCCATTCCATTCACATCAAGATTCATTTTCAATTCTCTATATACAGAAGATCAATTTAGTATATATTAAGTAAAGATTTCAATAGTTTGCATCCACACAGAACATAAAGTGTAAAATACTGTTTGAGTACTAGTTATAGCATTAAATCACAATGTACAGCACATTAAGGACAGAGATCCTACATGAGGAGTAAGTGCACAGTGACTCCTGTTGTTGACTTAACAAATTGACACTCTTGTTTATGGTGTCAGTAATCTCCCTAGTAGTCTTTAATTGGAATGTGATTCTCATTTTCTTTCCTCCTGTTCTCTCTTTCCCTCTCTCAAAATGGGAGACATTTGGGGAAAGATAGGGACCATATGGAGACCTGCTGTGCTGAACTGGAGAAAATTTGACTATAGAAAGGAGAACTGGGGTAGCCTGAGGATTTTCATATTTTAAATCAGTCTAGGTATTACACGTTCCATGAAATAAGCAGAGTGATGTGATCAGCTTTGAACTAAGCTAATTATTGCATAATAGGCAAAGTCATTTACTTATCCTCCCCATCCCATCTTCAAGTTTAGGTTTTTGATATTCTTTGGTATTCTTTTTTTCCTCTCTTTACCTTACCCTACTCTAACATCAGACTGTATTCAGCTTATTACTTATTACTGCATCTTTCCCTTAAGAGAGCAAAGTATTTTTCAAAAAGGACACTTGAGGGACCAATTAGGCAGAATATTTAAAATAGGTGAATATTATTACACACTTAGAGGAGTAAGTAAGCCTATGCTGAACTGAAGAATGCATGCTGTATCCAAAGGCTTTGTTTGCTTGTAAAATATTGTAATGCCTGAGTAAAATTGTTTTGTATAAAAAATTAACTAGTTTTAGATAAGTTTAAAGCAATTAAAACTTACCTACAAGTGATTGACTTTTGGGAAAATCCCTCCAGAGTTTTTGGGATCTCTAGGTGTGGGTGCTTGTTAAAATAAATAAATCTTCAATTGATATAACTAGAGTGATTGGGTGTTGGAGATGGTCTGGGGAAGAGAATATACACAACTTTCTGTGTATCCTCATCTATTTCAGACAATTAAGACCTTGTCCCGCCCCATCCTGCTTCCTCTAACTATTAAATACTTTGGGCATGGAGCTAATTATATTGAAAGAATGTTATTTAATCACCTTAGCCACATAACACTTGATTCCAATCATTGTTCTTTTAAGTGCCTCTTCAGAGCTTAACCAAAACAAAGAATCATTGATGAAGAGGGGGATAGGCATTGTCACATATAATAAAATAAAAATAATCATATAAATAAAAATAGGGAAAAGGCAAAATATATAAATTAAAAATTCAATAAAGTAGAAAATATCCAGTAATGTTTTGGGAAGTATTTCTGTAAGTGTTATGCGCTTCTCTAATCAAGAAATTTGAAGTTAGCATTTTTCCCTTCCATTTTCTTTTTAAAAGTGTACTTCTATTTTTTGATATGAATTTTATAAATGACCTGCCCAACTCAAGTTGCCTTTCAGGGTTTGAAAAAGATTTATTTTATTCTTCCTTCTAATTCATTTTGAAACTATTGATAGTTTTTCTTGTGTTAGAATCACACCCCTTAAGATATCCAATGTATTCAGCTTACAACTATTGTATGTTGTATATTCAGCCACTTCTTTCTAAAAAAATTATCTACAGGATCATCCCCCTGGCCTAGACTTACTTCTCCAATATTCTGTCCTTTTTCTTCTTTGTAACTTTATCCTTCTGGTCAGAGGTAATGGTTAAGTCATCATATCCAGATTCAGGAATGGACAATGGGACTGACCAGTCTCTTATCATTCATGTTTCTATGTACCAACAACCTGTTAACAGATATTTTATCTCTGGAGCAAATCTAGCATTGGAAAAAACTAAACAGACATTTCTTTTGTTGTTTCTACTAAAGTAGCTAAACTACAAGTGACTAACCTACGTTTTTTTTTTCCTTTGAAGTAAGTCAGTAGTGTAGGTTACATTCTACCTAAATCACATCCACTGTCAAGTGGTGCATTAAGCCTGTGATTATAGAGTGGACTGAAATTATGTTTTTGTAAAAATTAAAGAAAAAAATGAAGAAAGGGGGGATTGAGGGTGGGAAAGAGAGAAGTATGGTTATCTTCTTAGACTTATACCTATGGAATATGTGAAATCTGTTCTCTTTATATTAATAAATATGTTTAAAAACAAAAATCAAAAACAAAAAGCCAGTTAGGATCTCAAAAGTCTATGAAAGAATGACTTTCTGTATACAAGAATTATATTAACAATTACATTTTGTGGATATAAAATGTTTTCTTTAATGTCCATAAATTTTAAATTTGATAACTGATTAGTGTCAAATGATGACTGTAATTGTTTATATTTCTGCCAACCATTGGTAAATCTAAAGTAAAGAAGAACTGGGAAATTTTGAAGCTAGGACACAAACTCTGGAAGTGTCCATAGTGCACAAAGCAATTTACAGATTAATACAACCTCCTTCAAAATATCAATGACAATCTTCAGAGAATTAGAAGAAAACCCTAGAATTTATATGGAACACAAAGAACTCTAAATAACAAAAGCAATCTTTAATCAAAGCAGAACTGGAGACAACATAATGACAAATGTTAAGACATACTGCAGGGCTATTATAACTAAATCACCATGGCATTGGCATAAAAATAGGTACATACACTAGTGTTACAGATAGAAACCCTAAAATAAAATCCACACATGTATAGCCAACTGATCTTTGACAGTGTCCACAAAACCATATACTGAGTAAAGGATAGTGATATCCTTTTATCCAATAAATAGTGGTGGGGAAACTGAATATCCATATTGAATAAGAAGGAAGCTTCATATACCCTTCCCTGTCACCCTACACAACAATCAACTCAAAATGGACCAAAGATCCAAATGTAAAACCTAAAACTTTTAAACTACTGGGAGAGAAGATAAGTTTAACACCTCAAGACATTGACATAGGCAAAAAACTTTTAGAAAAGACACACACACACACACACACACAACACAAGAAAAAGAAGACAAATGGTAGGGATTATACCAAACTAAGAAGATCCTTCACAGCAAAGGAAGCAACCAACAGAGTGAAGATACAACCTAAAAAATGGGAAAAATATTTGTAAGCCATGCATCTGATAAGGGATTTATATCCAGAATATATAAGGAGCTCAAGAAATTCAACAATAACAAAACAAAGATTACAGTTAAGAAATAGCCAAGGAGTAGTACTTGAGGATGGATGCCTAGGGAGAAATGGCATTGACTTCAGCCACAGACAGATACCAGAAAAACAAAGGAAGGACAATGTTGCCAGGAGACATATTGAGAGAAATTTTCAGTGGAGAATGAACAAAACGGAACAGAGACTCCATGGAGCAGTGAGGAGAGAGAAT